CTAATCATTCATTTATTCGGCAGACACAAAGGGAAACTTACTGCCAGACTCAGCAGCGAGCTCCAGAATTAACTGAGAGCTGTACACAGAGCACACAGTGAGAACAACACACAGTGAGAGCCACAAGCTTGGGCCTAATAGCTCCCAGCTTACTCTACGCTGCTGCTGCTGCGTGTGTGTGTGTGTGTGTGTGTGTGTGTGTGTGTCTGTGTGTCTGTGTGTGTGTGTGTTTACTCTGAGCAAAATGCAAAAGGAAAATGTTCATTCTTACAACTACACATGGATTTACAAAGATCTCAATTAAAAAGTGTATTTTAAGCCACTACCCAGGACACAGAGCAATTTTTCATAGACTATCATAAAATAGAGGCTGGGTTCCAAGGACCAATCAGCTGTTGACTGTTGAAGTGTATAGCCTCTTGGTGCTGGGTATAAATCTGCAGGGCCAGGGTTCCGCCTCCTCACTACTCTCCCTGCTAAGTGCTCCCAACTCTCCCATTTTTCACTTAGTCGCAGATTTGCTTTTATCTTCTCTTGGTGTGGAAGTCCCTTGTGGCTTCCCTGGGAGAAGTTCAAACCCTTCCCATGACAAAACCAGCTTCTCAGGATGCATGTCTCTACTTTCCAGGCTTGGACATGCCATTGTCTCAGCTCTGTTCCTAGCACAGCTAGCTGGTCCCTAGCTGGTCCCAGAATGGATGGCAGAGACACACCCATTCTTCACTTTTCATGGCACCAGGCACCTCTTCTCCAAGGCGTCCATGGTGGTCCAGCCCTTCTCAGAGCAAGCCCTCTTCTTCCTGCCCCTGTTGATCATGTTCAGTCATGTTCCCACTGTGAATTGATGGACCTGAGACTTGTAGGCTTTACACATGGGGTGGGTTATCCGCCATTTCCCCTTATTATCCGCCATTTCCCCTTATGCTATCGGGCCGCCACACTTAGGCCCTAGCATGGGAAAGCACTTGGATGTTTGTATAAAAAAATAACTGGTGACTTTCAAATGAACTTCTGTGACTCCTGATCCTGTTACCTGGTGGCAGAAATCAGTGCATCATTGGGAAAAACAACAGTTATTTATGTTGGGAGACGATATATGGGACGTATGAACAGAAACAACAAGAAAATCGATTCACATCTCTCTCTACTCAACAGAAGCTATTCTCAAGCATGAGCTACAGCCATTAACAGTGGGAGGAAGGGAAGGAAATGGCAGCCTCATATACACTGGCATTAGGCCCATCTGGACTGCAAGCTGCAATCTCTAACAACCACACATCAGGAGACACTGGGGTGGGTAGCTATGTTACTATATACCCACCTGAAGCTACATTGACTAGAAATGATGGGTCACAGAATAATCGACTCTCATCTGCCTGAGAAAACAGGTGAGAGAAGACAGGACTGTACAAGCTTGAATACTCCGGAAGTTTCTGGAATTTCTGCAATAACTTCTGCAAGCCCCTGGAGACCAGAATTACGGCTCTACGGCATCAAGATGATCTCACTGAATACTTCTTTGTTTCTGGGAATGTTTGCTAAGGCATATAAAGTATATGTATTTAAAAACACCCTATCTTTAACAAGACTGTTTTAGAATCTTGGCATGCTTTGCATTCCTCTGGCAGCCCATGGAGAGGTACAGAGCAGGTCCCAGTCAACAGCGGGCACAGGCACAGCCCTCCCACACTACCCAGACTCCAGTGACTTTAGACTCTATATTAAAAGAGCTGGGTATCCCTGACAGCCCACGGGACTGAGAAACCCAGGGGCCATGTGAAGACATGGGAAGTATGCGAACCCAGGTTAAAGTTCTGCTGAGCATGCACACTCTTGGCTGTTCAGCCCGTGCACTGAAATGCCACTGAAAGAAATGGAGGCGACGACCAACCACAACAAAGAGAATGGAAGGAAACCATGACAAAACTCAGCAGCAGGAACTACGGGTAACTTGTGCAGTACTGAGACTGCAGAGCTGACTAAAGACCCTCGCCAAAACCAACACAAAGGGTCAGTGGGGGCAAGAGAAGCATCAAGTGAGGGGCCAGTGGCAAGACTCAAGACCTGCTGAGCACAGAGCATCCTCCTCTGCACTGCCGCACAGGACGCTCACCACTACAGCCCCTGCTTCTGCACGGTGGGATGATGTCCAGGAAGCTAGGGGACCTGGGAAAGAACTAAAGCATGAAGGCAGGGACTCCAAACAGCTAGTCCACAGGAAGAGGGGCCCAGGGGCCTCTGTTAGACACAGTAAAAGACACGGTCTCTGGTTTGTATGGGCATCTAAAAACAAAACAAAAAATACTACCAGCACACGTGGGCTAGCCGCACAGGGAATATGAACAGCTCCTCTCTGAAGCTGAACTCTATGGAAGGAGAAGGGAGGGCAGTTGGGTCAGTAGAAGGAGAATAAAGAGTTAAAAATGAATGGAGGGGCTGGAGGGATGGCTTGTTGGTTAAGAGCACTGGCTTCGGCCGGGGCAGTGGTGGCGCACGCCTTTAATCCCAGCACTCAGGAGGCAGAGGCAGGCGGATCTGTGAGTTCTAGGCCGGGCTGGACCGACAGCCTCCAAAACAATACAGAGAAACCTTGTCTCGTAAAACCAAAAAAAAAAAAGAGCACTGGCTTCTCATCCAGGGGACCTTGGATTGATTCCCAGGACCCACATGGTAGCTCATTTCTAACTCCAGTTCCAGGGATCCAGTGCCGTCTTCTGGCCTCTTCAGGCCCTGAATGCACAGAGTGGACAGACATGCACTCACACATGTGCGCTCATACACATAAACTAAAAATAAAATAAGATCTTTAAAATTTATGATTGGAAGCCAGGCAGTATTTGGCTCCACCGGAAGGTGTGGTTTGGAAACCAATTAAGTACCAGAAACGATGACTTCAAGGCCTGATAGTGTGGACCGTGAGGCAGGGTTTAAAGAATTCAACATCAAGGGCCCCTGGCAGTGGCACCAGGATCTATCCCAGGGGCTTGAACTGGCTTTTTGGAGCCCATTCCCTGTGGTAGAGGCTTGGTCCTACCTCAACTTGGTATGCCACACTTTGTTGGCTCCCCAGGGAAGGCCTTACCCCCTCTGAGGTATGGACAACGAGGTTAGGGAACACTGGGATTAGTATGTAAAATGAAAAAAAAACAAGAAAAAAGTCATCATCAAAATAAATAATGCCAAAAATAAAGAAATCAGCACATCACCTACAGAAACACAAGTCATTGCAGAAGTGGGGCAGGGAGCTGTTTATACTACACATCGCTGGAAACTGCTTTTTAAAAACTAATACATAGCATAAATGATTCATAATTTAACCATTATTATTACTAAGTAATATAGTAACAGTAACATGAAACAAAGCACAACTGCCAGGGTTGATGACAGAAGACAGACTGGAGATGCAGCACTTGCCTTGACACTTGGGACCCTCAATTTGAGCCCCATCAGAAGCCACAAAATGAAACAAACTAGCAAACTCAGAGAAGAGCCAGGAGCCACTACAGAGCTTTTCCCTGCTAAGCCCACTAACTTTTTAAACACCAAGAAGGCACATCCCTATCTCTTGAGGAAAGATCCCACCTCAGAACCCGCTCTTCATTCAAAGAAGATACGTGCGGGATGTGCCCTGACAGACGGACAGCCCTGCATCTCACAATACACAACTGTGCGGTGACCTTTCAGCAGGTGTCAATCACCGCCATCTCTCCGTGTCACACTCCTTCCAGCTGCCTAGAATTCAAGAGAACCGACTACCTCCAAACTGAAAGAGTGGGAATGCTTCAATGCCTATTCCCAAGAATGTACCTTCTGTGAACACGTCATCAGTAACTTTTTAGACTTATTTGTTTTATGTGTATGTTTAGACTACATGGATGTGTATGTACAGAAGAGAGGACTGGATCCCCTGGATAGGTGTGAGCCCCACATGGGTGCTGGGACTTGAACCTGGGTCCCTGCAAGAACAGCAAGTGCTCTTAACCACTGACTTGTCTATTCAGTCTCCATTAATAACTTTGTTTTTTGGAGATGGGGTTTCTCTGTGTAGCACTGGCTGTCCTCGAACTCTGTGGACCAGGGTGGCCTCAAACTCACAGAGTTCTACCTCCCAGAGTGCTGGGATTAAAGGTGTGTGCCACCACTCCCAGCTATAACTTTTTAAATTAAGGGGAGAAGTCAGAAAACAGACAAGCTGATATAAAATGAGGAAAACCCTTTAGAAAAAGCCTTCTGCTCTCTAAGGCGCCAGCATCATTCCACACTGTGCTCCATGTCCTGGTGTGCTGGGGTCAGAGGTTAAGGATTGAGGGACCTCACTGCAGACCCGAACTCTTCCTTAGCAGCTGGCTTTTACTCTACAGTAGTAAACAAGGCCATGGCATCCTGGGAGCAGGCTTGCACACATAATACGCCGTGTCCAGCAGATTCATGGATTCATTCAAAACAGTAGTTCTCAATCTGTGGGTCACCACCACCCCTTTGTCAAATCTCTTTCTCCAAAAATATTTGCATCAAGATTCATAACAGTAGCAAAATTACAGTATGAAATAGCAATGATGCAATTTTATGGAGGTTACCACAACATGAAGAACTGTATTAAAGGGTGGCAGCATTAAGAAGTTTGAGAATCCCTGCTTTAGAAGAAACGTTATTCCCTAGGGACAATTATAAATATATATTTGTAAAATTTTCACTGTAAACTATATTTAATGAATAAATACTCTAATAAATGTTTCAAGTGTTTTTTAAATTATAAATTGAAAAGAAAAATTTCAGGAACATGGAATGCTACAATTATGGTTTGTTTTTTTTAAATTACCACTAGGGAATAAATGTACTTAAGACTACAATGGAAGAAATAGCTTTATACATAAGAACTAATTTAAAGAAAGCCAAGGATAAAATGCTACAGAAAAAAACACACAAACGCACTTAAGTCACCTGAGTAAAAATGAACACGGAAAACATTAGCTGGGGCCGGCACGGGCCGACCTAGTTACCTGCCAGGTAGAGGGCGAAGGATATAAACCTGTGGTAGCGGATGAGGAACTGCAGCTGCTCCTCCCTCTGAACAAACGTAGCAAAGTAGTCCGCCACCGTCTCTCCGTAGAAGAAGTAGTTCACGCACAGTAGAAAGTACCTGCAATTTAAACCCATCAGCTTGGCATGTCTGAGTGTTTTCCCCCTCAAATGTGATGGAATAACTCCTTGCAGTCTTATGATAATACTAAGATCAAAATCAAATTTGGGTGATTAATCCAAAATATGCTCCACTAAAATGATGTTTTCTCATTTTAAACTTAATTTCAAACCTATCAGCCAACAATAACCAGCAATCCACCAAAGACAATTCATGTGTTTAACTCAAAATACAGTATCAGAGACAACAATGTCAAAATACATCAGACAGATAAACACACATCTGTGCACACTCATGCATCCACAGTGTTGAGTTTATAATGAACAGACAGATGCAAACACGCCATGAACACACACACACACACACACAGTGCTGAGGTTATAGTGAACAGATGCACACACATCTCTGCACACACGTACACACACAGTGTTGAGTTTATAATAAAAATTAACTCCTGGCTGCTCAATGTTCTCATGTTTAATAACTAACACTGGAGGTCACAACCCCACCTCACCAAGCAAGTTAAGAGGGAACGGAGGAAGAGGTGGCCGAGCATCTCCCCCTCCTGCCCTGCACATAGCTCTGATGTCTTTCTCAGTTCTCAATGCCCAGAAGGGCACCAATTGAGGAGTGCTTCTTCTTATTTTGATTTAGTGTATGTGCTCACATGTGCATGTGTGTGTGACAGTCTGTGTGTATGTTTCCCATATTGTGTGTGTATTTCCTGTATGTGTATTTCACCTGTGTGGATGTCTGTGTATGTATTTCCCATGTATTTTATGAGAAATGGAGAAAACTGTGAGGAGAAAATTACTTCTTGTCACTGACAACACCTACCCCACCACTTTCCCCACCTCCAGATCTTACTATATCATCTCAGGCTGGCCTCGACCTCACGGTTCTCCTGACACAGACAATTGGCAATTGAGCAAGTTGCTGTGGTTTGGATCCCAGAACTAGGGTTAGAGGCATAAGCCGTACATTACGCTCAGGTGGGAACTACATAGAATATTCAAAGTCCAAAGGTGATATATGGCTATCTTAGGAAGACAACAGCTTCCTGGAAAATGTTAATGGAGTAGTGTCCTTAAAGGCATGACCATGTGGGCTGACAGGATCTATTATAGCGCCGTGTTTCCTACTCAGGGTCTTGACAGGGATGAGTGTCTGAAATGTTTAAAAAATGCACAAAGCCAAACTTTACACATATATGTACGCATCAAATATTGTATAATCTCTTGTCAATTGGGAAAAAGATTAGAAAGCTTTTCATAAAATTATGATCAGGAAGGGTATATATTAATCATTAATTAGATGCTATTACAAAGACTGAAGTGCAGGCTTGAGGAAGACTGTCTGTGTTGGAGGAGGAAGAGCAAAGATTATTTTCCTCTTTACAAATTCAGTTACAGCATGTTTCTCTTTCTCCAAAATCATTCTACAGTTAAAAACTTCAGAAATGAATCAGATGTGCATTTCCAGAGTGGTTTCACGGTCACTCACCAACTTAGTGTTCTAAACCACGGGAGGTCATAGGAGTGATAGACTCTGTATCCAATGGTGATAATCTCACGGTCACTCACCAACTTAGTGTTCTAAACCACGGGAGGTCATAGGAGTGATAGACTCTGTATCCAATGGTGATAATCTCACGGTCACTCACCAACTTAGTGTTCTAAACCACGGGAGGTCATAGGAGTGATAGACTCTGTATCCAATGGTGATAATCTCACGGTCACTCACCAACTTAGTGTTCTAAACCACGGGAGGTCATAGGAGTGATAGACTCTGTATCCAATGGTGATAATCTCATGGAAGCACTTCACCTGGATGCCCAGGACCTGAAAGTAAACAAGGCCATGTGATCTGTGCTGTGTAACTGGCAAGGAACATCTTGCCACATGTGTTTTAGAAAACTTTAATCTACCAACTTGTAATTATTCTAAATGGCAACAGCAAAGAGGCAACATTCACTCTTTCTAGGGAAGTGATGCCTGTTTAAATGGAGGCCTGAGGTCTTCTCAGGAGAGGCCAGGCATAGTGAATCCTTGGGCAGTTGGGTGGGCCTTATCCATTTATTTTTATTATTTATATCCATGTATCCACCATTTCTCAAGACTGGACAATGTTTCCTGAGATAGGGTCTCACACTATAGGGCAGACTGGTCTCTAACTCCCTTCTCACCGCCTCTGCCCCCTGTGTTACAATTGCAGGTGCGACACGCCCAGCTCTGATTTTTCCATTTCCAGCTCTTAGTTCCTATAGGAAAAGGCTGACTAAGAGAAGTCTGCTTGTATCCATGTATCTTTAATCGCATGTCCCAGCACACTTATAATCTAGATTGTGGCAAGGACCTTTAATCTTAGCACACAGCGGGCAGAGGCAGCAGATCTATGTGAGTTCAAGGCTCTCCAGGTAGCCACACAGTGAATTCCAGGCCAGCCACAGCCAAATAGTGAGACCCTACCAAACAAAACAAAACAAAACAAAAAAAAAAACAAAAAAGATGATGTCCAGGACAAATAATTACAGCATCCGCCACTTTTCCTTCTCACAGATGAGCAGACTGCCAGCAGCAGCTCTGGTCAGTGTGGGCACAGTTATCATTGGCCTTCTACACTTGCACACACTGCCCAGGCAACAGAGTTGGTAGAGTTTTGTTTGCAAGGTGTGCTGGTACCCATGAGCTGATGTTCTGCTCCTAGCCCTTCCCAGTGATAAACCCGAGGGTCTAGGTGAAGTGCAACATCTTACTTAAGCTCAAACAGCACAACAAAACCTCTAAGCCAACAATTATTTTCCTTCCTCTAAACAACATGCTCAAGGACTTGAGATTGTGCAATCTTCTACAAAATAAGACTTTTTATAAGCTTAAGGAGTTTAAAAAAATTAAAGATTTTAACAGGTCAATTTGCAGCTTAGAATCTAAAATACTGCTATTTGGTCTTTCATTGAAAAAGGTTTCAAAACTCATGTTTGAAGGTGTATTTTTTTTAACATTTCTTGTGGTTTGGGGAAATGAGTCAGTGGATATAGAAACACACTGCACAAGAATGAGGATCTAAGTTGACTTGCAGGAAGCTCAAACCCCAGCACTGGGGAAAGGGGCGGGGCAGAGAGCTGACAGAGCATCAAGCTCCAGGGAGGCCCTGTCTCCAAAGAGACAGACACGCTCAGTAGCAATCCTCCGCCTCCAGGGTGCACACACAGGAAAGTGCACACACACATGTGCACAGGTCTGTATGCACATAAACATGCACACAAGACAGAGGAAGAAGGAGAGGGAGAGAGAGACAAAGACAGAGACAGAGAGATTAACTAGCCTCTCAAACTGGCCATTCAGGATATTTTTAAGCTACTCTGCCACCAAATATTATACATCCAATCATGGACTTAAAAAAGTAAATGTTCCCTTAGCCACATAATAAAGAAGTATTATACCAAAGTACAAGAAAGTACTGGTAGCAAAAGTTATTACTGTTATAAAAACAAGGATATATAAAGGTAACTCTTCAAATAATCTTTGTGTAAATATGAAATAAATGGGTATTTTTACAAAAATAATCACAGAATGGGGACAAAATTCAGTGTTAAGACAAAATGGCAAACCACACCATTTACAGAACAAAGAGCTTTTAAAATATCAAGTACAGTACTGTAATCTCTATGAACATACCCACTTAGCACTGTGCCCCCATCCTACTGAGAGGAAGAGAAGGGGGCCTTATTTAACAGCCATGTTATCCGTGGGATGATCATTACAGCTTGCATGGAGAACACAGAACAATGTCTCGGAAAACCAAAAATAAGGAATTCAAAACACTACAGAGTTAAAAATATTTAAAATATATTTGTATTTTTAAGGACTGGGAGATTACATGGAAATTAATACCTCATGCCACTGATACTGATAGCAATAAACACTGGAAGAATTTCATTGGCCCAATTAATGTGTTAAGAACCTTAAAGGCAGTCGGGTGTTGGTGACACACGCCTTTAGTCCCAGCGCTCAGGAGGCAGAGGCAGGTGGATCTCTGTAAGTTCCAGGACAGACTCCAAAACAATACAGAGAAACCCTGTCTCATAAAACAACAACAACAACAAAAAAAAAGAGCCTTAAAAGCAAGAGTCAATTCTTCAGCAGCCCACTTCACTAATCACTCACTGAGGGATGGAGGGGGAGGGAGAAGAGGGAGAGAGGAGTCTGTGAAGAAGCAGGTAACTCTAAAGCCCTGTGGAAATAACCACACACACACACACACACACGCACACACACACACACACACCTGTGATGGGATGGATGGGCAGCGACAGCATCAAAGAACACAAACAGGCATCATGTCTGCAAATGGCCGAGGTATGTTAGGCTATGTGTGAGTCGTTCAGAGCCGTCAGAACACACGGATGTGGGTGCGGACAGAGAGCTGAGCCTGAGGTGGATGGTAAGAGAGGAATGACACCAGAAGACATGAGTGCCCTGGAGAAGCAGGTGTGCCCTGGGAGAGCAGGTGTGCCCTGGGAGAGCAGGTGTGCCCTGGGGGAGCAGGTGTGCCCTGGGAGAGCAGGTGTGCCCTGGAGGAGCAGGTGTCACAGTGGGGGCAGGGGGGCTAGCCAGGAGGGAATGAACAGTTTTATCTAGAGAGCTTGTCACCTTCTCAACACATCCTTACATGATAATAATGAAGGACACTGTGTGTACCCCCAGGAATGGCTGTCACTATTCATTGCTAAGTCAATATCCGGAAACCCTTGCTGAGTCTGTTGAAGGAAAGGGTTTCTCCTGGCTCACACAACTGAGGGACACATTCTGTGAGGAACACCTCCACTCAGCTCCTCCCTCCACCTCCTCAGCTCCTCTTCCACCTCCCGCTGGAAGTTCACACGTGTTACACAATGCTTCCAGAGAGTCTGCCGACTCCTTTTCTTCTCTCACAGTACTAGTCTTTACTTCAAAGGCTGCAGTTTGTAATTAGAAGTAGCTAAGCAGTCCTTTACAGTGTCAACAGCAAGCACCATCAAAACAAGGATGGGATGTGTTCCGAGGCACCACTATTAACATACCCCGGTGCTACTGTAATCCCTGGTACACGCCAGTCACCTTGAAGGCATTTATGAAATGAATGACGTAAGAGCTTAGTTTGTCTGTTTGCCCTCATGACTTGGCTCCCCGTACGCAACGTCTAACTCCCCCAGAAGGACATCTGCTCAGCTCAGCTCTCCAGTCTCATCTCTCGAGGTCAACCACAGGTCAACTCAGATCCTATGCAGGAGGTCCACCTTCTCTCATTGGCCCCCAGCTTGATTGACACTGGGGTATCCAGCTTGAAATCCACCTTGCTTTCTCTGTGTAATCTTCGGGACCAAGCTTAGGTGCCATCTCTCTGTAAGCCTTCTATTTTCCCTGTTTAAGATGGCATGCTTCCTCTGTGAGTTCGAGACCAGCCTGGACTACCAAGGAAGTTCCAGGACAGCCTCCAAAGCCACAGAGAAACCCTGTCTCGAAAAAACCAAAAAAAAAAAAAAAAAAAAAAAAAGATGGCATGCTTCTCCACCCTTGTGCTTAGAGCATGGCCTGTCACAAAGACTTGCCACCACTTAGTCCTCTGACTGAGCGTTTCTGCTGTCACACTAAGCTCCTTGAAGACAGGGATTGGTGAGATATAAACAGATGGCAGTGGTACGGCACTTCTGTCACCCCAATGCTCTGCAGGGCACTGGATAGGCAGATGTCCAGTATTAACGTGTGCGCCCTTGGTCCATGTTGAATGGGCACACTGAGGGACCACTGTGCAAACGGCAAAGACTGGTCTAGATCATTTTGTGAACTAGAAATTGCTTCAAGAACTGAGTTTGCTGTTGCCACGTCCTGAGTTACCTTTTATTATTATTCGCTCACATTATTTCAATGCCATGTAAAGGCTGGGGAACCAAGGCACCCAGGAAGGTGTCGATGACGTACCAGAAGCATAAGCATGAAGGACCCCATGTAGATGATCAGGAAGAACAGCGAGATCATGGTCAGGGTGAGAATTCCTCGAATCCACCAGTTCTTCCACCTGCAAAGAAGTTTGTAAAGTCAGCATTTAGTAACATGATTTTAAAGTTTTGGTATGTGTTGGGAATTTTCCCTAGCTGTTCTTTAAGAAGATCTTACTTCATTTTCAGTAATAAGAGCAACAGTTAAAATTTTAAATTGTGTCAGCTAAAGAAAGAAAGCGATTGCTGCTAAAGATGAGTGGGGAGAAGTCATGAGGGCGGGGGGGGGGGGTTAGGTGGTCAGCCTGGATGTGGGAGCGGGACGTGCCAACAGGGATTTTGTGAGGAGGAGCCTGAAGAGTCTTGGAAAGGAAGACAGGGTTTTAGAGGAGTAGATAAAAATGTGCTCCATTTAAAGTGGCACCGACAGCAGAGCTACTACATGGAAACCCGGAGTTTGTTTCTTAGAACAGAGCATCCTGGCTGACTCCTGCTATGGTGAGGCCGGATCTCCCATGACCTCTGTCTTAAGGCTGAGGTACCCAGCAACCCCTCTTCTCATGCTGCGCTCTGCAGGAATGTCCTTGTCTTATCTGACCATGCCACGAGGTACTCTGGCAGACACTATACAGAAAACTAAGACAAATTCCAATACATGGGCTGTCACTTGTCAGTCATGATAGGATCCCCCAGCTACTTGGCTTCAATGATGGGAAGCCCACTTACACCCAGGACTAGAGGCCAGCCTGTACAGCACCACGACCCTGCTGCACGAACAGACTCTGAAAGCACCTGTATTTGGGGAGTCCTGGGTTCAAACTCTGCTGCTTTTCTTTAAGATAATAGCGATTTTTACCACACATGCTTTAGGCCCCATAAAGTTGGAGTCTCCCAAGGATTCCAACCTTTTCTCTTATGTTCCCCAGAGTAACACATCCTCCATGAATTTCACTAGCAATCTTCATAAAAACCAAGGCCCTCAGCGACATGTGCTAGATGTGTATTGTAAGAATTCAAAGAGCATTTGAATCCTGACACGAAGGAACGATTTGTGTAAGCTGCCTATTATTCTCCACACACTGAGTCCTCCTTTATTGCACTGTCTGTTGAGGGATGTGGCAACAAAATATAAATACTCTTGAACAGAGTATTTGCTCAGCAAATATTTGATGAGATACTGAGTCAACCAACAGTTTCATAAAAGTATAAAGCATAAAGGTAAAAAAGATTCTCAGGGCCAGCAAGAGGGTTCAGCAGGGAAAGGGGCTTGCTGTGCAGGCCTGGTGAAGATGAAACGTGGGAACAGACTTGAGAACGTTGCCCTCTGACCTCTGACTTCCGCATACCAGTGCTGTGGCTCATGGTTCTATGCACACATCCATATTAAATTTTAAAATAATTTTTAAAAGATTTTCATTAGTTGTCACTACAAACATCCGACAAAAAGCAAATGGGGTGGGGGAGGGGAGGCCCAGAATGACGGGAAGGCATGGCGATGGGGCTAGGTCACAGGCAATAAGCAGGAAGCCAGGGTCCTGCAGCTGTCCCCCCTTTCCCCTGCTCATTCAGTCCAGAGCTCCAGCCAGAGGGGCCTCCCTGCTCCGTCATGCCCCGCCGTAACCACCAATACACACACACGCCAGTGTGTCTAATTAATGCTCTGGGTGTTTGTCACTCAAACCAAACTGACAAACCATCACATGTGACTTTTATTAGTTACAGCAATAACATTTAATTTGTATCATATAAAATTTTGATTCAATCTAGTCTAGTAAATGCATTTTATTATAGGCACAGGCCCTTCCCTATTTTCAACAGAACTGATAGCTGATTTCATTTCCTTATAAGATATGGACTATAATTCTTACTTTCAACCACTCTTCTACATTAAGTGGCTGATTTTATTTTTTTGTACACATAAAAAACATGAATCCTGTGCAGCATGTATGTGCATGAGCGTGCCCGTGCGTGTGCGCAAGTGTGTAGTGCTGAGCTCACATACAGAAGACCCATGCATACTAGATAGACACTCTACCTCTGAGCCACACCCTCATCCCCCGCCCTGCACAGTTTAGACACATCTTTGTCAAATCATCTTTTAAGGCCATTTCTGTACTCAAGGATCCACAATGTCAACAACATTAAATCCAACCAGCTTTTTGTTAGTTTCCCAGGTTTTCCTCGAGGTATTCAAACTGAGTTTATCCTGCTGTATTTCCCTCTACTGTTTAGTAAAATACATACAATCATCATTTCTTTCATCGAGTGTTGAACTTCAGGTCTGAACTGAACATTAGTGTACAGTCAGAAAACACAAGTGGAAAGTTCTGTTTAGTTTTGAAGACTTAACTCTCTGCAGATTACTGAGTGGATTAGGGAACTGGGCTAAGTCACAAAGCTAGGCAGAGGTGAACAAAGGTCCTTAAGCGGCCAGTGACAATAACCCTGTCCTGTGTGAGGAATCGGGATCACACTGAGCCTTCACTAGAGAAGTACCAGAAGCTGGCCCTGATGGGAGCTGCCACCATTCACAAGTCGTCCGTCCGTGTCTGCTCTGAACAGGAAATGACAGTGGCTGCCGAGAACCAGGAACACCAAGACATCATCTACTCCCTTCCCAATGTCTCAGAACCTCAGTCACTGCATCCTGGGCCCTGAAGGAACACACGCTATTTAGCCTCTTTTATAGAGAGAAAACTTTTGTTGGCATCCAAATTAATGGGTATCACTATGCTATACTGCTGCGTATGCATATATATTATACTTAACTTTTATCTGTCCCCTGCCCTTTTCCCTCTCCCATCCCCCCACACAGGTTCCCTTCCCCCTCAAAAAACATTCCCCACCCCTTTCCAGTCACATGTACCTACTAGGTCCTCTTGTTCTGCTATCCCACTCCCCTGACACTACCTCTAATCTTTCATGTCTCCCTAAGGGTACATACACATACAGAGACGTACACACACACATGCCCACGCCATACACATAAGCTTAAAGCTAGATTCCACACTGTTCTGAGTCTGGCTAATTTCACACAATGCAATATCTCTGGTTTCATCCATTTCCCTGCAAATATTACAAGTTTATTCTCTGCAGCTAAATAAAATTCTCAGCGTATGTGCACCACATCTTCTTGATCATTTATCTGTTGATGACATCCATATTGAGGCTACTGTGGACAGTGGAGCAATAGCTTCCGTATGGACGCATCTCTGCGTGCTAGAGGCATACATACACCCAGAGGTCGGACAGCTGGGTCGGTCACATGGTAGCTCTCTTTTAAAAAAGATTTTTATTTTACTCTAATTATGTGTGTCTGTGTGTGAGTATGTGCATGTATGAATACAAGTGTTCATGGAGTACAGCAGAGGGGCTAGATCCCCTAGAGCTAGGATTGCAGGTGCAGGTGAGCCGAGATGGGTGCTGAGAAACAGACTCGAGACCCCTGGAAGAGCAGTAAGTGCTCTCAACCACCCACCCATCACTCTAGCGTCTTACAAAAAACAAGCAAAAGAACAAAGAACCCCGTTAGGTTGTGTTTATTTTGTGAATTTACTTTTGTGCATGTGGGAGAATATGGGTCTTGCTTAAGAGAGAGAAGAGAACACCTCACTTCAGGCACAAGATTTGAAGGACCCATACTCAGGAAGGGGGCATTCAGGATGCAGGTCAATTCCAGCTCAGGGCCCTCTCAGTCCCTGTCTCTGCATGGTTCCTCAGCAATAGAGACTTACCTTCCTCCTCTGGGAACAACCAAGCCCAACAGTTATAGGCTGTATGTTCTGGGAGTGTCGTGGACAGCCCTGGCCAACCTCTCAAAGGAGGGATTCTCACGTGTGGTACTGGGGTTGTCTGGATCTCTTGGAGAGAGCACCATTGGTCCAGATGAGGAAGTACATATGCATATTTACACATGGATTTACATGTATAACAGGGTTCTTTGGTAAAGAGTTAGTGGTATAATTCCTACAGACATCTTACTGTTATTTTACCCACCGCCCTCCCCCTTCTGAAAGGCCCCTCCCCTTTCCCATTTCCCTATCAGATCACTTGCAACTCGCCTATTCTCTCTCTTGCATGGTGAGTTCTTAACCACTAAGACATCTTTCTAGCCCCACTGTGGGAAGTTCTATTGGGGATTTCTGTGTCTACATTCAAGAGAATGTGGCCTCTAATTTTTTGTGATGTCCTTATCTCTTCAGGGTGTCAATATAATCACAGAATGACTTCGTTAGAGTTCCTTTCACAGAACAGTTAGACGGATATTAGAAGTCAGTTCTCAAGTTTGGTAGAATCCAGCGGTGAATGTGCTCACTCCTGGGCTCTTCTGTGTTGGGAGACTTTTAATAGACACCGTCATCTAATAGCTTGTTAGTCTATTGTGTCTACCCATTTCTTTGGATTTTCCAGTATTCTGAAGCACAAGTTTTGAAAGTATTCCCTAATCACCCTCTTGATTCCACTGGAATCTGACAAATCTTCCCATTTTTACCTCTGATTTTATTATTTGTGTCTTCTCTCTCTTATGGATAATTCGGCTGGGGGGTGTCTATCCATCTTGATTATTTTTTACAAAGATCCAACTCCAACTCTGATTCTACACATTTCTTTACTCTTCATTGTATTAATTTCTGCCCTGGTCTTCCTATGTACTGCTTTGGGTTTGGTTCACTCTTCTGGGTCTAAGCCTGTGATGTGTTTATAGTTAGGTCTCATGTTGGAGCTCTCTCTGGCTTTTTTTTAAGTGTAAGCACTTGCAACTAGAAACTTTCCTCTTAGAACTTCCTCAGCTATATCCCAAAAGTTCCAATAAGTTCTACTTTCATTTGATGGTAGGAATTTTTAAATTTAAATTTCAATTTTTTTCAGTGAGTCACTGGTCACATAAAGGTGTCCTGTTCAGTCTCCCAGTAATTTATGTAGCTTATATGCATTCTTTTGCTATCAGTTCCTAGTATTTTTTCCACTAGGATCTGATGAGATAAAAAAAAACAGTTATTTAATTTTTTTGTATTTGTTAAGGCTTAGCAACACAGAATTATGATACATGTTTAAGAAAGGCCCATAGGCTGCAACGGAT